GCGATGTCTTGAATTTCACCACTGCTGAATGGCATCTTGACTTTTCCTTTCTCAAGTCCACAGTGCATTATTCTTTTTTTTTTCAACTCAGATTTGTTGAGATTTAATTACATATAGTAAAATTCACCCATTTAATGTACAGTTCTGAGTTTTGACAAACACATAGCCATGTTACCACCACCACAATCGGGACATAGGACAGTTGCTTCACCCAAAAAAATCCCTCGTTTCCTTCTGTGGTCAACCTCCTTATACCCTCAGCCCCAGGCAGATAGTGACCTGTTTTCTGTGTCCATAGTTTTACCTCCTTCAGAATGTCATACAAATGGATCCAAACAGCTGGTAGCTTTTTATATGATTTCTTTCACTTAGCATAATGCAATTGAGATTCATCCATGTTGTTAAGTGTATCAGAAGTTCACTCCTTGCGTTGCTGAGTCATTTTCCATTGTATGAACATACTCTAGTAGATTTATCCATTCACCAGTTGAAGAACATTTGAGTTTCCAGTTTTTGGTGATTATAAATAAAGCCTCTGTAACATTTGCATACAGGTGTTTGAATGAAGATAAGTTTTCATTTCTCTTGGGTAAATATCTAAGAATGGAACCGCTGAGTTGTGTGATAAGCATATGCTTAACATTGAAATAGTAAATTGTTTGCCGAAGTGTTTGTACCATTTTGCATTCTTACCGACAATGTATGAGAGTTCTACCTAGTCTGTATCCACAGTAGTACTTAGTAATACCAGTTTTTCTGTTGTTGGTTTTTTTAATCTTATTCATTGTAATGGATGTGTACCGGTACCTCAGTGTAGTTTAAGTTTTTAATGACTCGAGTCTTTTCACATGCTTATTTGCCACCCATATTTCTTTTTGGTGAAATATATTTTCAATTCTTTTCCCTATTTACTTATTAACTTGTTTGCTTTACTGGTGGGTTTTGAGGATTCCTTACATATTCTAGATCCAAGTCCTTTAGCAGAAATATGCTTTGCAAATATTTTCTCCCACTCCTGTAGTTTGTCTTTTCATTTTCTTAAATATTTTGTCTTAGCAGCTCAGCAGCTGTAATAAAATGTTGTAGACTGGGTGGTTTAAACAACCCACAGTTATTTCTCACAGCTCTGGAGGCTGAGATGTCCAAGATCAAGATGCCAGCAGATTCAGTACCTGGTGAGAGCTCTCTTTCTGGCTTGCAGACTGCCACCTTCTGGCTGTTTCCGCACATGGTGGGGAGAAAGAGATCAAGCTCTCTGGTCTCTTCTGATCAAGTCACTAATCCCATCATGAGGATCCCACCTTCATGATCTCATCTAAATCTAATTACCTCCTAAAGCCTCCATAATCAGATATATTGGGGGGTAGGCCTTCAACATGTAAGTCTGTGGGGAGATACAATTCAGTCCATAGCAGTGTCTCTCAGAGAGAGTAAATTTTAAATTGTGAGGAAGGGCAACTTAACAATTTTTCTTTTATGGATCATGCCTTTGGTGTCATATCTAAGAAGTTTATGCCTAACCCCAAATCACAAAGCTTTTCTCTTATATTTTCTTCTAGAAAATTTATACTTTCAGCTGTTTTTATGTAGGTCTACAATCCATTTTAATTGTTATACATGGTGCCAGGTATAGATCAAGGCTCTTTTTTTTTTTTTTAACATTTGCATGTCACATTGTTCTAGCGCCATTTATTTAAAAAAAAGACTATCTTTTCTCTTGAATTTCCTTTGAAAATTTTTCAAAAATCAATTAACCAAAAATCCATAGGTCTATTTCTGGTTTCTCTTCTTTTCCATTGATTTATGTGTCTATGCTTTTACCCGTACTATGCTCTCCTGATTAGTGTGGCTTTATCCTAAGTCTGAAATCAGGTGGTATGAATCCTCCAAAAATTTTTAATTGTTTTGATTTTTCTAGCCCTTTGTATTTCCATACAAATTTTAGAATCAGCCTGTCAGTTTCTACTGGAAAAAAAAAGCCTTCTAGCATTATGGTTAGGATTTCATTGAGTTTATGCAAATCAATTTGAAGAAAATTGATAGCTTAACAATATGGAGTCTTCTGATTCATGATCACAGTATTTCTCCCCATTTCTTTAAATCTGCTTTAATTTCCCTCAGTAAGTTTTAATAGTTTTCAGTGTACAGGTCTTGAACCTCTTTTGCTAAATTTACCCTTTAGTATTTTACTTAAAGAATTTTTTTAAACATTTATTGTTCATCGTGGTCCGAGCACAGGTTGGAAAAGAACTTCCAGACACAAGGCAGAATGTAAGGAAGATATAGTTTATTCAAGAGAAGAGTTGCTGCAAGAACAGTGGGCTGACTTCCTGGTAGCCAGGGAAAGTCGACCATGAGCATGGGTTTCTGGTCTATTTTTATAGCCAGGGAACCTGTAAGTCATCTGCTGACTGGGCAGAGTATGTATACTTTCAGTGTGGGGAACGGGAGAAGAACAGGGCAAATATCTTTCCTTATATGGGATGGGAAAGGGACAGGGCATGCTGCCTGGGAGGGCTCTGGAACAGTGCAATGGTCACATTCTGACAGTGACAGGAGTCCTCTAACTCTTTGTTCTGGCAATATTGGCCCTTTGAGTTTATCTTGTTCTTTGTCCTTGGAGCACACCACATTGTTGTCTAGTACATGTTGTTTAGTAGCATGTCCATTTATTTTATTTACTTCTTGGCCACACCATACAGCATGTGGGATCTTAGTTCCCTGACCAGGGATCGAACCCACGCCCCCTGCACTGGAAGTGCAGAGTCTTAACCACTGGGCCACCATGAAGCCCCTAGTACTTTATATTTTCCATTTTTCATGGTAATTTTAGAATTTTCTGATTATTCATTGCTAGTATATAGAAATATAACTGATTTTGTATATTGACCTTGAATCCTATGAACTTGCTAAACTCACTTATTCTGGTAGCTTTTTTTGTGGACTCCTTAGGATTGTCTGTGAATAAGGTCAGCTACTTCTTTTCCAGTTTAACTATCCTTTAGTGATTTTTCTTGATTTTCTAGTTTTAACTAGAACCTCCAGCAATATGACGACTAAAAGTGCTGAGAGTGGCTATCCTTGCTTCTCTCAAATCTTAGTCATTCACTGTTGTATTAGTTTGCTGGGGCCGCCATAACAGAGTACCACAGGCTAGGTGGCCTAAACAACAGAAATGTATTCTCTCAAACTCTAGAGTCTAGAATTCTAAGATCAAGGTGTCAGTGGGGTTGGCTTTTTCTGAGGCCTCACTCACTGTCTTGCAGATGGCTGTCTTCTTCCTGTTTTCACATGGTCTTCTGTCTGTATCTGTGTCTGTGTCTTAATCTCCTGTTCTTTAAGGACACCAGTCATATTGGATTAGGATTAATCCTAATGACCTCATTTTAACTTAATTACCTTTTTAAAGATCCTGTCTACAAATACAGTTATATTCTGAGGTATTGAGGGTTAGGATTTCAAAATGTGAATTTTGGGGGGACATGATTCAGCCCTAACAATCATTAAATATGATGTTAGCTGTAGGTCTTTGTAGATACCTTACCTAAGGTTGTTAATTCCCTTTTATTTCTAGTTTGCTTTTTTTTAAATCTTGAATGAGTACTGAATTTTATCAAATTATTTTCTATATCTATTAAAATGATAATATGTGTTTCCTTTCTCCCTCTTTCAGTATGGTGAATTACATAGATTGAGTTTTCAAATTTCAAGCCAGACTTGTATTTCTGGGAATAACCCCATTCAGTCGTGATGTATTATCCTTTTCATATGTTGCCAATTTTTATTTGGGAAAATATCATGGAGTATTTTTGTGGTGCACACCACATTGAAGACTGTTGAGTTTCTGGGTGGAAGGAGAAATGCTATAAAAATGTTTAATCAGTCTTCATTTACTGTGACATGCAGAATAAGCATATTACTTTAAAATATATAAGCAAATATCAGAAATAACAGTTCAAAGAGTTAAAAGTAGGGACTTCCCTGGTGGTCCAGTGGTTAAGACTCTGCACTCCCAATGCAGGGGCACAGGTTTGATCCCTGGTCCGGGAACTAAGACCCGGCATGCCGGGACCCAAAACACCCCCAAACAAAAAGTTAAAAGTGAATGGAGGGCTTCCCTGGTGGCGCAGTGGTTGAGAGTCCACCTGCTGATGCAGGGGACACGGGTTCGTGCCCCGGTTCGGGAAGATCCCACAGCAGGCGGAGCGGCAGGGCCTGTGAGCCATGGCCGCTGAGCCTGCGTGTCTGGAGCCTGTGCTCCGCAACGGGAGAGGCCACAACAGTGAGAGGCCCGCGTACCGCAAAAAAAAAAAAAAAAAAGTCAATGGAAACATGACTAGAAAGTAAGGTGGTTGTTCTTACAGTTTTTGTACCATTTGACTTTTAAAAATTATGTGCACATTATTTTAGAAGTAAAACTTAATTTACATTAAGTTTTTTAAAAAGTCTCCAACCAGAAACCAGTCATTTGTTTTTAGTTTGTTTTCATTACAACTCTGATTCAGTTGGGATTTTTTTGTTGGTGCATGGCAAGCAAACAACTGGAACAGCGTCTATTTTTCCTCCTAAATAGGTAACTAATTCGTCCCAGCATAACTGATTAGTGCTTTTCTTCCCATGATTTGTTAATACTCAGTTATTCATACCAGGATATTTCTATACTATTTGTCCTTGCTCCGGTACCACACTGATTTGAGCTATAGTGGAATGAGTTTACTGTGGTGAAGCTCATTTATTAAAAAAAAAAAAAAGATGTGCAAAGACACAGAGGTTTATAAAAGTAAGTGCATAGAGGAATCTGAGTAGGTAAATAATGTTGAAAGCCCAACAGCAAACAGCATTAGTTAAAGCCAAACTGTGGCCACAAAGTCTCTCGGGAGGAAACAATCTTCACAAGTTTGGACCCGTAGATGCGGGAGAGACACCAAGCACAAAGGAAAAGCGGCGGAAGCCCAGGGGGGTCCCACAGTGACTTACGGTCCCTCACCTGCTCAGGGAGATTGGCGGCAGCCCCGGGGGCGGGGCAAAGCGAACGTCACTTCCGGCCGCGGACAGCGAGGTCCTCTCGCGCTATGACGGCCAGGGCGGAGGCGCGGGGGCAGCGCCCAGGAGTCGGGGTAGGAGTAGTGGTGACCAGCTGCAGGCATCCTCGCTGCGTCCTCCTGGGGAGAAGGAAAGGGTCATTTGGAGCCGGCAAATTCCAACTTCCCGGGGGCCACTTGGAGTTCGGGTAAGCAGCCGCCTCGCGGACGGGGGAAGGGTTACGTGCACGGGAAGGGCGACCTCGCTCACTGCGTGCGTCCGTGCGTGCGTGCCGACGCTGCGTCGTTTCTCGCGAGTTCCTCTTTTCTCCTCTCGGGCCGGGAGGGGGCACTGCGCTGGGTATGGCTAAAGGAGAGATTTCCTCGTTCCCGTGTGAGCTGCGCCTGCGCCATCAGCTCCTCGCGAGACCTGACGCGGCTGGGAGTTGGCTGGTGAGTTGTGTTTTTCTTACTGCTCGCACTTTGAGAGACCGGAAGTTGGTGTTTATAGGCCGCGGTCAATGTAGTTCTGTCAGTTAAGGCTTTTGCACGGTTTGCTGGTGATTTAAACGCACATGGATATATTTCGTGTTTCCTGCTCCAGTAAGTTTAGTTGCGCTCTAACCAAGTGAATGGGCGACTGAAACTCGAGGCCTCAGTTTCTCTTTTTAAAATGGGGAAGTTAGATGATGCACTTCTTAAGGTCCCTCTCTGCTTTGGCATATTGTGGTTTGATGATGTGTCAGACCGACAAAGAAAGTTAGTTCTACACAAGGGTGTAAAAAGGCTGCGATTGTGGTAGAAGGTGGATTCACCCTGACTCTTGGACTCTTTAATCAATAGAAATTGATAAGATGCCAGATGAGGAATTTAGGCGAAGCTTTATTGGGGCTCGTGCTATAGCAAGAGGGAGCGAGAACAAGACACAGGTGCCCTTGCTCGGCTCCCCTGGAGGGGACGTGGTGGTGGGCTGGTTCCTTAAATGGGGTGAGAATAGGAATGGATCTGCGGGCTGTGCAGGAGGCGCAGCTTAGGTGGCCCGCCTAACCCCTTGGTGTGTGTGGGAATCATGCGTGGTACCCTGCTTTGCTCTCAGCAACTCGGAAATGGCAGTTGGTTTGTGGCCTTTTTATAGCTTGTTTATAATTGTCCCAACTGCGCGTGCATGCAGTTATTTTTTAAGCCTCTGCCTTTGTCCAGGTGCAAGCGCTCTGGTAGATGATCTATCTCAAAGTGAGAATAAAGCGTTCAAGACACAGAGCTTGTTTTTCCTTTTGTATGGAAAATTTCAAACATACTTAAAAATAGAATAGTCAGTGAATCCTCATGTACCCATTACTCAGTTCGTTCTTGTTTCGTCTTTACTGCTCCTCCCTCCCGGCAAACAGACACACACACCCCTTGTTTTCTAAACTATTTTAAAGGAAAGCGGGCATCTTATTACACCACCCCTAAGTAATTCAGTATCTATCTGTAATAGGCTTTTAAAAAGAAGTAACCACAATACCATTTTCAAACCTTAAAATACTTTATAGCATCTGTTACCCAGTCTGTACCATTTTCTGCAGTTGTCTTGAAAAATGTCTTTTTACTGTTTTGTACCAATTCAGATTAAAGGAAGGGCACATGTTGCATGTGATTGATACATTTTTTAAGCCTCTTAATCTAGCAATACCCGCCCTCCCCTTTTTCCTATGCCATGTTGAATATGGGTCATTTGAATTTCTCACATTATGACTATATTCTTCTAATTCATGTATTTCTTATAAAGTGGTTGTTAGAAGTAGAGGCTTGATCCTAGTGCCTTTTAATCAGACTTAGATCTTTATAGAATATGGAATTCTTATCTTCTAGCACAGGGAATTGTTTGAATGGTCTTCTGAATTTTTAAAAGCATCAATAAGTTTCTCATTTTTAGATAAGTAAGATAAGCTATCACTTAATAAATAATGAAATGCCTAGATTAAGAATCAAATTGCCCAGACAAGCACACCATATTGTACTTTGTCAGTTTGGGGGGCGGGGGAGCATTAGCCAAAGTTAGATCACAAATTAAGCACTATTTAGAATGTGTAATTTCTAGAGTAGTGGTTCGAGATAGCTGTCCTAACAGTAACACAAGACAGTGTTGGAGTCTTGACTCATACTGAATGATAATGGCCAAAATTAAAGTTTAATGACCTTTTTACTAAGTGCTAGGTGTTATGCTAAGCTCTTCACATGTGTGCTTTCACTTATCTTTGTATAACTGGTAAACTGAGTGGGCTAAATCGATGGGAAACAAACAGGAAGGAAGTAGCTTTATTTTCTCTTTTCATTGTCTTCAAATATGATTTGTCTTTCCCTTCTCTGCTTCTCCATGACGTTTTCTGCAAATTCAATTGTTTTGCTCTTGTTACCAACCTGGGTTCTTGAACTCTTTAATCAATAGAAATTGATAAGACGTGAGACAAAAGAATTCAGGCAGGACTTTATTGGGACTCATGCTACAGCATGAGAGGGAACAAGTAACAGGTGCCCTTGCTCGCTCTCTGAGGCAGGCGAGCTGGTCCCTTAAACGGGGTGAGGGTGGGAGTGGATAGGTGCTTTGGGCTGGAGGGGTGGCTTAGGTGATCTCTCCACCCCCTTGGTGGTGCCGGGTGCCTGTGTCGTGTGTGGTACCCTGGTTTTGCTCCTGGCACCTCAAAAGTGGCAGTTGGGTTTTGGCCTTTTTGTATCTTTGTTCACAGTTTGCCCCAACTGGACATGGGTGCAGTTAGTTTTCATCGTCCCTTAGAGTTTCTTTGTATTCTGTTGTTCAAGGAGAGGAGATGATAGTCCAGGTGCAAGCACTGCAGTAAAGGATCACAGTCCCAGCCTGTCTCACTTTCACTTGATTATAAAAGTAAATCATATTTTGGTTATTACGATCCTCTTCCAGGCATTTAGCTTTCCTTTGTAGTGGGGAAAGGAGGTGTGGGCTATTGTTTTGCTTTCTCTACCTCCTCTTCTCACTGTTTCTGGTTTCTTTTTCTGGTGTGTTGAGGAAGGAGGGGAGGGAGCAAAACTTTTACCTGAGTGGTGCTGCTGTGATCTATGTTATGTGCCCTCTGGGTGCAGTATTCACAGGCATGCTCTCTTTCTTGTTTTAAAATTTATTTATTTTTGGCTGCGTTGGGTCTTTGTTGCTGCGCGCGGGTTTTCTCTAGTTGCGGCGAGCGGGGCTACTCTTCGTTGTGGTGCGCGGGCTCTAGAGCACAGGTCAGTAGTTGTGGCGCACGGGCTTAGTTGCTCTGAGGCATGTGGCATCTTCCCGGACCAGGGATCCAACCCGTGTCCCCTGCATTGGCAGGAGAATTCTTAACCACTGCGCCACCAGGATAGTCTGCGTGCTCTCTTTCTTAGGGTGTGTTTATTGGTTGGTTGGAAGTCCTACAAGGATTTCTACACTGCACAGTTCCCTGACGTAGGTGACTGACTTTTTGTGACGCTGGCCACCAGCTCCTGCTGTTAGCACAGGACGCTACATTTTCTTTGTGATGGGGCCCCCAGCAGTCTCTTGTAGCATCTGCTTGGCCCAAAGGAAACACAGGTTGGGAAGGATGCTTTCACTGCTGCCCATTTTCTCTGCTCAGCCATCGTGGGCTGCTTTAGCCACTCTCCTTCCTTCCAAATTCCTGAAGTGGGAACGAGCATTACCTTGTGTATTCACGTGCATCCCTAAACACCATGGGACACATTTCAGGTTAACCCAAGAGCTCTTTCCC